CTCCCCCCCCGGCCCTCCCGGTCCGACCGTCCAACCGCAGGGTGTGTAGTGCGCCGGGCAGCAACGGTCAGAGCAAAGGCCGTCCTTGACCCCGGGCCCTGTGAACCTGTGAACTTGTGGTGGCATAATTTCCTCGGTGATCTTTGCAGATCTGGTTGCAAATGGGGGACTTTACGAGACTCAGTTAAACAGTCGTTCTGGTTCCGGAAATGAGACCGGATGGGCTGATTCTCTCGACAGCAGCCCAGGCTATATTCTAGCCTGGGCTGGGCGGTCGAGGGGCGGTCCGTAAGACTGTTGTGGTTTGCGGTTTGTTTTAGGACAGCCCCCCCCCCTCCCCCCCACGTGACACATACGTCCCGTCGAGCCGCAATCGATGACGTCAAGTCGGGCGAGGCAGCGACCAAACACCCCGATCCAGATGGTGGTAATTTGTTGAGGCACCATACACAGCGGAAAGACAATTGGGCGAGAAAAAATGCGTGTTGTGTGGGTGTGTGGAAGGGGGAAGGGGCGGTTTTGAGGAAGCGTCCTCAACGTGGAACATTGAAGAAAGACATCGGAAGTGCAGATAGGGTCCTCTCGGCCTGCTCTACTTCATACTTCATACTTCCCGCCTTCACACAAGCAGACACAACATGACATGCAAATTCAGATATCATTTGATTTGTAAAGCGGCATAGCGCAGCCTGCTGGGACATCGCTGAGTCCGCTGACCGTCGGACCGTCGGACCGTCGGACCGTCGGACCGTCGGACCGTCTGTCGACCGCCCTTACTCAGTCGGATGGGGTGTCAACTGGGCTTTCAAAACAACCTAAATGTACCCTTCAGAGACTTGCCAAAAATGACGACGAACTCATTTTGGGCCTATCCTGTTGAGTTGAGGGGCCAGAGACCGGACTGCAGCCAGATGCCTTTTTTCAAAGTTAAGGAGAGTCAACAACGCTCTTCTCAAGGCACTCCTTTCTCGACAACGAGTTTGAAGTGGACTGATAATTATCGCTGCACACATGAAACGCATTGTCCTCGTTTTGGGCTTTCAGCAGGCGCACGCTCTTGTTAGGTAACAAACTGACTCAGGTGTGCTGCTTAAGGGGGAGGGGGGGAGGCGAAGGGTGGACCCGAGGGTCGTGGTATCGAGCCAAAACGGACGGCGGACGGTCGCATAACACTGTACTTCCCTGCGGGGTGGCAACAGGAACAAGGGGCGCCGATGTACACAATGTTCTCAACATTGTTTATAAAAGGCGCCATTATATCGCCTGAAATTGTGATCTGAACAAAACCAAACTCAAGAGTCTCTCATCCCTCTTGTCTTTTTCACAGCATGCTGAAAACACACTCACTAGCCTACCTATCTCTTTTCTCCCACTCGACATAACTGCTTCAAGCAGTGCCTGTACAAGTACTCGAAACAACTGTTCAGCGCTTGCAAGTTGCAAGTTAGCGCTATACGGACGGAGGCTTCCCTCTGTGTCACTTTTATCGGCTTTGATTAGGCGGCGAGTGTTAATATTGTGGGGCGTGGGCGGGCGGTTGCAGAGCAAAACAACACATACCAGAGGGCGCGAGAGACCACATTGTCACATGGAGTTGCGCGATTCGCAGAATGACGTTCTCCGGCGTGAAACCAATATTTGCCACACTTTGCGTGGTAGAGAGCAAACACTTGAGCTTTTATCAGTTCGAGAGGGCCAAATAATTCCCCTCCGCGCATAGGGGAGGACGTCATGAAGTTTGAGGGAAGTCCACGTGCAGGGGTGGTCTGGTCTGGTTCCGGCCGTCCATCTCTCTCCGTGTGGTCACGCGTTTACCGCGTCACTCTCTAGCTCACCTTCAGATAGACGGCGGTGAGAGAGGTGGGCATTTGTCGGCTTTAATGAATGGAACGGCTAGTACCCGGTGAGAAATGAAATATTGGACTGATATCAGAACGTTATCATTCGTCAATTTTCGCATCACTTCGATACTGATATGGTCCTGAAACTGACACACATCTGATATTCGATATCGTTTCGATATCGGTCTTTATCGGTCTGATATTTCATTTCTCACTTTCTCACTTGGATAGTGGACATTCTACACAACTGAAAACTTTTCATCGACAATTTTACCTACGTAGATATTTCTCATACTTACGGAGGTCCTCTACCCCACCCCTCCTCCTTCTCCTTCCTGTACACAACAAAGCTGTCTGCTTTGGCCTTTGCGCCTCTAAACTGGTTTTAATAGGCTTGTATCTAGATAGAAGTCTACTGACTGCACCCATGCTTCATACAATCCTCTCCACTCACTTCAGTCATTCCGAAGTTTTGAAACCAATCATGGCGACCAAAATGTATAAAAACTTGGGATTCATTTTGGTTATGTTATTGTCAATGTTTATGTCGCCGGTGTTTTGCACAGCAGAAGACAACGAGATAACACAATACAACGATCGTCCGATTGTGGGTATGTAGTGTATAGATTGGAGTACGCTCAAAACCCCAAGAAATGATTATTGTATTGTTATTTTTTGAAATGTTAAAAAAACATAAATATTTATTTTTTTACCATATCTACCTTGATGTATATTGAGTACAAGTAAATCAATATAGCAGGAATTATGTTTTCATGATTCAGCAGGATAAAAATTTCTCTTGGGGTTTATGAGGGCTTGTCTGTTTTAGGTATACTTTCTCAAGAACTGCCACCAAATGGCATTCCACCAGAATGGAAGAAATACAAAAGTTTTATTCCTGCGTCTTATGTCAAATACATGGAAAGTGCTGGCGCACGAGTAGTTCCTATTTGGTCAGTAATGATGAAGAAGTTACCTACATTCTATATATATTTGATCAGCATAATTTACTCGTTAATAATTTTCTAGGATCAACAAAACACGATCATACTACGAAAATATAATGAGCCAAGTTAATGGGTGGGTATATACTCCCGAGTGATATTCATTCTACTTTTGTAACATTGCTTAACAAGGGTTGTTAATAACATTCTTTTCCACCTCTGTTTTAAATTTTTGGAATACCATAGTGTCCTGTTTCCTGGAGGCAGTACAAACTTTAGTGACAGGTATCGCTTTGCTGATGCTGGAGCTATGATTTATGATATAGCTAAAGGTTTCAATGAAAAAGGCGAATATTTTCCCTTGTGGGGTACTTGTCAAGGATTTGAACTACTTGCCTATCTGGGGGCTAATCGAACTAATCCTTTGACAAACTGCAATTCTTCGAATGTAAATCTTCATCTTGATTTCTTGCCAGGTGCGAAGGCTTATTTGTTTACTGTGTTTCAGAAAACAACAAACTATCCTCTGTTAATTATTCCTCTTCCCTTTCAAATGTAGATTATGGCATAAGCAAGATGTATGCAATGGCTCCAAAAGAAATTATACAAATTTTGTCTTCCGAAGAAGTTACTGTCAACTATCACCGGTTTTGTCTAACTCAAGAGGTAAAAAATAATAATTGCTTGTTGGACTCGAAACAAGCCTTGAAATTGCAGGAACTAATTATAATTGTTCCTTTCAGAACGTAACTCGTTACATGGGAGATATTAATTGGCGTTTAATAAGCCTTAATAAAGATGCTAATGGATTGAAGTTTGTATCTAGTATGGAGTCAAGAAAATATCCCTTTTATGGTGTTCAGTTCCACCCAGAAAAGTCAATATTTGAGTGGTCTCCAAGGCAAAAAACAGCCCACAATTTTAATGCTGTTACTGCAGCACAATACTTTGCAAACTTCTTTGTAAATGAAGGTGAGTTCAATTTCTGGCTTAATTGTGTAGATTGTTACCATTTTTCAATTTTAGTGTTTACCTTTCATTTTGTATCTTGACAATCAGCCCGTAGGAGTCACCATTCCTTTTGGTCGTCAGAAAAAGAGAAGAACTCCCTCATCTACAATTTCACTCCACTTTATACTGGTAAAGAGGAAAAATATTTCAGTGAGCAGTTGTACCTTTTCGAATGGTAGGTAATCCGATCAGCTTTCAAGTTTAGGACACGGTGGTTTAGAAATTTCTGTCAGAACATCGTGTAATAATTGTCTGTGATGTTATTTTTTAATAATAAATACGATGCCAAACTTTGATAACGAAAGAAAGGATTGTCCCCTCTTTCGCCGCACCTTCAGAGACCAGCAGAAAGGACTGCTTTACGCCCGGACAGCGCCTGAGAGTTAGGCAGCCACTCGCGCGCCAGTGTAGAAGAGGTGTGGGCCGGCCGGGGGTCGGGGGCGCTGCCGGGGAGCGACGCGGCGGGAGCGGCTCGGAGACACGAACAGGTAAAGCACCGGGTGTGTTACGAGCGCCAGGCCGAGCCGGCCGCGAGACGAGAAAATAAGCAGGCTGGCTCGTGCGGGATGCTAATGTGGGGCCCGCGAGGCGTGTCGCGCCGCGTGGGTCGCTCGTTTGACGATTCCGCGGAGTCGTCGTCGCCGTCGCGCCCCCGTCGCCGAGGCAGCTGCCTGCGCCACCTTTCCCTCCCTCTCCGGCTTACGAAACGTGTAATTGTGTCAGGTCGGAAAAGGCGCTCGCGGGGACCCGCCGCTCGCTTTGGATCGCTTTCCGGATCCTGTGTGGGGACCCAAAACGGGCGGTAACTCCCTCCCCGCGCCCCTGCGAGCAGGAAGGGCAGGAGGCCCACAGGAGAGGAACGTCATCAAGCTGTACTTTGAGGCGAGAGGCTGAGCAGGATAAAGGTGCGCATGTCTAGAGAGACACTAAGGTCTTTATAAATTCTCTACGCACACGCAGGCCGCTCCACAGTTACCGCGTATTCATATTCATAGAGATGTCATAAGAACTCCAGCCTGCGGCTGTCAAGGGTTTGCAAACTGTTTTTGTCGCGAGTTTGACTAACTCTAGGCAGGGGCGCCATACCCCACCTCACCAGCCTCCTCAGCGCGCACCGCAGCAGCGCGGGGCTGACCGGATCCGGTTCCGGGGCCCCCCACGACCCCCTCCCCCCCC